CACAGGATGATCTGCATTCACTGATCACCTTTGCATTCGATCTGATCTGCATTTACAGCAATTTAAAACACAAGCATGTTTCACTTGGTTGACATTTACTTTTTCCTCAAATATTTTCGTAGACAATACTTTTATGTTCCTGCTGAACATTCTGCTAAACATCTCTGTATGTGTTCACAGAAGAAGTAAAGTAAATTTGATCCTCTTTCCCTCAACTCTTTAATGACATTTACATTTATGCAGATGCTTTTATCCAAAGCTGATGTCTAAGCTGATGTTAACCTCAGGGCTAGAGTTTGCGTTAGTGTAGTATTAGTGTGACAGTTATGCATATGTTTGCTGAGTTGAGATTCAATTTAGCTTTTTTTTTTCTTCAATAAAAAGTGTTTTAAAACATGTTTTAAAGAACGGACTGTGTGTGTTTCTCCTCAGGGGAGATATACATGGCTCTGACAGCGTTTGTTAGCATGGAGGCGCGTGACGAGCGTTTGGAGAAGCAGGCGTGTGGCGGCGCTCTGCAGGTGCATCTGTACAGAGACGAGGCGAGCGCGCTGACGCTGACGCTGACGTATCCGGCCGGAGAATACGTGAGCGAAGAGCTCTGCATCAGCGCCGCCAAGGAGTGCGGTGAGTCCTGACCCATCCTAGCAGTTACAGGGACAGCTCAGCCAAAAATGAAGATTCTGTCATTAATTACTCGCCCTCGTGTCGTTCCAAACCCGTAAGAGCTTCGTTCATCTCCAGAACAAAGATTAAGATATTTCTGATGAACTCCGAGAGCTCTCTGATCCTCTCATAGACAGCAAAGCAACTGAAATGTTCCCAGACCCAGAAACGTAGCAAGGAGATCAAAGGAGAATAAATTGTTATTATTGTTTTCTTTGCACACAAAAAGTATTCTCGCTGCTTCGTAACAGTTACGGTTGAACCCCTGATGTCACGTTTCTGGAGCTGGGAACATTTCAGTTGCCTTGCGGTCTATGAGAGGATCAGAGAGCTCTCGGATTTCATCAGAAATATCTTAATCTGTGTTCTGAAGATGAACGAAGCTCTTACGGGTTTGGAACGACACGAGGGCGAGTAATTAATGACAGAACCTTCATTTTTGGCTGAGCTTTCCCTGTAATACTGATTCACATGTCTGTACTTTGTGTGTTTGTGGGAACTTCATGCCAGATTATGATGATTTTACTCATCCAAAAAAAAAATAAAAAGACGTGAGTGTGTATGATAAGCAATCATATTTTATTTCTTCATAAAACATCATTAGTTAATTATGTGTAACTGCTGGTGTTCTCAGAAATGCTGTTGTTTGCGGTGCGTTTGCGGCAGACAGACACCGTTCTGTTTAGTAGTAAAATCAGAGCGAGGCGTCTCCTCTAGTGAGCTTAACTAGCTGTCAGTAACCAGGGGTTAAGGTTAGTGTTAACTGTTAGTTTTAATGAATATTTAAGAAATTTGAAATCATTTGAAAATAGATTTAAAAATAAATGAAGATGAACGAAGCTCTTACGGGTTTGGAACGACACGAGGGCGAGTAATTAATGACAGAACCTTCATTTTTGGCTGAGCTTTCCCTGTAATACTGATTCACATGTCTGTACTTTGTGTGTTTGTGGGAACTTCATGCCAGATTATGATGATTTTACTCATCCAAAAAAAAAATAAAAAGACGTGAGTGTGTATGATAAGCAATCATATTTTATTTCTTCATAAAACATCATTAGTTAATTATGTGTAACTGCTGGTGTTCTCAGAAATGCTGTTGTTTGCGGTGCGTTTGCGGCAGACAGACACCGTTCTGTTTAGTAGTAAAATCAGAGCGAGGCGTCTCCTCTAGTGAGCTTAACTAGCTGTCAGTAACCAGGGGTTAAGGTTAGTGTTAACTGTTAGTTTTAATGAATATTTAAGAAATTTGAAATCATTTGAAAATAGATTTAAAAATAAATGTGTAAAATAAACATACTTAAGATGACAAAGTATTTTTCACAAATAAATAATTGAATAAAAATAGAATTAAAAAGGAAGTAAACACTGTAACCAACAGCACTCAGTATTCTGGGAAGTTTGTGTGCATTGGGAATCATATTTTTTCAAATAAACCCAAAGTATCATATTTTACATATAGCACACAGTGGAAATGACATGAATATGGCAGTGCGCAAATGCATAAAGCGCAGCATAATTTGAAATCATGAGTTTAATTTGTCAAACTCTCCTCCTGTCCGCGTTCAACTCACACGGATCGACCGTCACGCAGAGAACACGCGATCATGCAATAAACAGATGCACACTTCACAAGATCTCACAGCTGGATACAGCTGCAAGCTTTGTGAAATTAAATGTTTATTAGACATTCAAAGATCTGTTTAAATGATATAAATGCGTATTTGCTGAATGCTGATGGGAAACAAGAAAGTATTGTATTTGCCTTTCTATTACTAATAATATAAAAGCAATAGTTTTAATACTTTTCATATACCTTTTAATTCATTTGTTGAACAGTTCTATCTGATTATTAGACCGGCTTCTATCCGTATTAGACAGAACTGTTAACCGACGACAGCGAACAAAATAAAAGTCCCGCCTCGAACACATCGGCCAAAACCCATGTTTGAAAAATGGCAAATATCAGCGCTGCACGGTCTGCTGTCGGTAGATGAATGAAGCTCCGCTGAAACAGAAGTCACTGTCAGAACAAGCAGCGGTCTGTTGGTCCGTGTGGCGCATTACTGCGACCGGTGAACCTTCGGTGAAATCTTTCAGCTCTATTCCTGATGTTCACCTCGATGGTAAATGTGGCCGGATCTGTTCAGTCTGCTTCACAGAAACATCTGAAGACGCTTTAGCTCAACAGTAGATATCATCTTTAAGTTTACAAACATGTCTTTTTCAAATGTATTATAACAATAATAATAAGTCAGTTCGAGCAACTATTCATAGAAAAATCCATAGAAGAATCTGAAACAATGACCTGCAAACTACCTTAAAAATGTGCACAGGATGGTTACGACAAATACTGATTTGATTGAGTTAAAATAAAAATAAATGACGCGAGAAGAGCCTTTCATGGCATTGAGAGCAACTGAGATGTTCATGAGCAACATTTAACTCTCGAGTCGTGAGGCAAGAAAAAAATGCAAAAAAATAAATCTTAAAAAAAGTTTTTACAGATATACAGTGGGTACGGAAAGTATTCAGACCCCCTTAAATTTTTCACTCTTTGTTATATTGCAGCCATTTGCTAAAATCATTTAAGTTAATTTTTTTTCCTCATTAATGTACACACAGCACCCCATATTGACAGAAAAACACAGAATTGTTGACATCTTTGCAGATTTATTAAAAAAGAAAAACAGAAATATCACATGGTCCTAAGTATTCACACCCTTGGCTGTGACACTCATATATTTAACTCAGGCGCTGTCCATTTCTTCTGATCATCCTTCAGATGGTTCTACACCTTCAAGGGGGTCTGAATACTTTCCGTACCCACTGTAAGTATTAAAATGTCCTGCCGTACTGCACCGCATCAAAGCAATCGATACAGAACAGTCAAAGAATAACTTAACGAGGTTGCCATCGTTTACTGATCTGTGGACTAGCTTTGACTCTGGCTGCTGATTTGAATGGTGATGCTTCATGTTTTAAGTGTCCAAAAGCAAGACACGTGGAAAAAACTTTAAATCTGCCCTCAGTGTCAATACAGCTGATGTGTTTTACTGAGGCTTCACTGTTATGTTCTTACATAGTGAGCGTATAACACAGCGAATCATTAAACCTCAAACGCTGCACAACCACACTCAGAATGATGGCAGAATTCACTGAAATTATGTTTAATAACCGCAGCAGTGATAAATGACGTCACCACCGTTTAGAGGAGTCTTACTGTGGCTGGAGTGTTGCTGTAGGCTGGTAAACTTCCTGTTCCCACTCTTACCACTTCCTGTTTACCCCTCTGAGTGATAAGGGCCTAAGAGTGTGTGTGTGTGTGTGTGTGTGAGAGAGAGAGAGAGAGA